CGTATTCATAGGTTGTACGCTTACCCTAAATGATCACTCATTTCCTATAGACCTCATGCCCGTTTCCATTAAGAGCTTTGATGTTATCATTGGCATGGATTGGTTGAGTCCCAATCATGCTGACATTCTTTGTTACGAAAAAGCTATCCGTCTCAATCTTCCTTCGGATCAAACTCTCGTAATCTATGGCGATAAACCCAGTTCCAACCTTCATATCATTTCTTGCATCAAAGCTCGACAACTCCTTCGAAAGGAGTGTGTTGCATTGTTAGCTCATGTGATCAACGAGAAACAAGAAGTTAGAGACCTCGCGAGCATTCCCGAAGTCTGTAACTTTCCCGATGTTTCCCGAAGAACTTCCAGGAATTCCTCCCGAACGTCAGGTCGAGTTCCGTATTGACCTAATTCCTGGAGCTACTCCCGTAGCAAAATCCCCGTATCGCTTAGCTCCCGCAGAAATGCAGGAGTTATCCAGTCAACTCAATGAGTTGCTCAGTAAAGGATTCATTAGGCCGAGTTCCTCACCCTGGGGAGCTCCGATTCTGTTTGTCAAAAAGAAAGATGGATCCTTTCGGATGTGTATCGACTATCGTGAGCTGAACAAGTTAACCGTTAAGAACCGATATCCTCTTCCAAGAATAGACGACCTCTTCGATCAACTCCAGGGAGCCAGTTACTTCTCTAAGATAGACCTTCGGTCGGGGTACCATCAGTTACGAGTCCAGGAGAATGATGTTCCCAAGACAGCATTTAGGACTCGGTATGGACACTACGAGTTTGTAGTGATGCCCTTCGGTCTAACCAATGCACCGGCTGTGTTCATGGACCTGATGAACCGGGTGTGTCGTCCCTTCCTAGAAAAATTCGTTATCGTGTTCATTGATGACATCCTCGTCTACTCCCGAAGTGAAGAAGACCATAAACAGCACTTGAGGCTAGTGTTGGAAACTCTTAGATCCGAAAAGCTTTACGCAAAATTTTCCAAATGTGAATTCTGGTTACGGAAGGTAACTTTCCTCGGTCACGTAGTAAGCGAGGAGGGTATTCATGTAGATCCTTCCAAGATTAAAGTGATAGAGAGTTGGTCGGCACCGAAAACACCCATGGAAATTCGTCAATTCTTAGGTCTCGTCGGCTACTATCGACGATTCATTCAGAACTTTTCCAAAATCGCCAAACCGTTAACCACTCTAACACAGAAAGGTGTACCCTTTTGTTGGAGTGATAAGCAAGATACTGCATTCCAAACGTTGAAGAGAGCCTTATGCAGCGCGCCTCTTCTGTCTCTGCCAGAAGGGACAGAGGACTTCGTTGTCTATTGCGATGCGTCTAATCAAGGTTTAGGCTGTGTGCTTATGCAAAGAGGAAAGGTGATTGCCTATGCCTCTAGACAGCTGAAAGCACACGAAATCAACTATACCACACACGACTTGGAGCTAGGAGCAGTAGTCTTCGCATTGAAGATTTGGAGACATTATCTCTACGGAACCAAGTGCACAATCTTCACTGATCACAAGAGTCTGCAGCACATCTTTAATCAAAAAGACTTAAACATGAGGCAACGACGATGGGTAGAATTACTCAGTGACTATGAGTGTGAAATCCGTTACCACCCCGGCAAGGCCAATGTGGTAGCAGATGCCCTTAGCCGAAAGGATAGTACTATTGGGCCGTAAACTCCTCTAAAAGGGTGATTTAAGGCCTTTAAACATGTTCAAATGCTTCCAAACTCAATCTATGGCTTTGTGGTAAAATCTAGATGCATCTAAAAATGGTTTAAAGGATTGAAACACAACAAAAGTATGATTTATAAGAGTTTACGGCCTAGGAACATACCCTTGGCCGTAAACTCATAAAACAATGTTTAAGATGCACCAAACACACCCAAATGGCTTGTACAAATTTCTAGAATCACATGTGATTGTTTTAAACACCAAAAACTATCTTTTTCAATGATAAAAGAGAGTTTACGGCCTTAGAACATACCTTTAGGCCGTAAACTCCAACAAATGTCTTAATTGATGTTCTAAATTCATAACAATGCTTAGAAAATTAGTTTGAATCACATGTGATTGACCTAAGTAGCTTAAATCAATTATTCTTAGCCATTGTGAGTTTACGGCCGTAAACTCTATGAATGTGGCCGTAAACTCATGTTTTAAATGTTTCAAATCCATTTCAAGTGTTCCAAGGTGTTTAGATAATCATTTCTAGCAATCCCTAAGTCCATTTGAGCCCTTAAAACACCAAAACCTCACCCACATGAGTTTACGGCCGTAAACTCATGTATGTGGGTGTTCCAATGTTATAAACTACTTAAAATGTTTACTTATGAGGAGTAAACTCAAGTCCCAAGTCCTTAGTGTCATTACAAATCCGAAAACGTCACCCGGGTCACTCCGAACGTTCGTTTTGAGGTGTTTAACCTCATTGGAGTGTAATGTTCCATATGATTAGTGAATGTATCTCAAATTGTATATATATGGACATTATATCATTTTGCATAGGGTCATCGCGAGTAATCAAACCCCGAACCGACGTCTAGCATTCAAAACCGACACGTTTCCGAGTCCGGTGAGTTCATACCCCTACCGTTTTTCACTGTTTTCACTGTTTTCAGGGGGGGAACACAAGCAAAGTACAAGGGAATTCTTGTACTCATAACATGTTTTCAAATGTGTGTTTCATATTTTTTTATGATTTTATAACTGATAACTACAACTGATAACAGATCGAACATACAGATCACGTAACATATATTTGTGAAATAAGTCTTTAAACTAGTATGTTTTACATGTATTTCACAAATGGTTTTCCACATTTTATCAGTTAAAAGCATGACATTAAAATATTTGAATATAATACCTGTACACTGTTTTGTCCTCGGTAACACTCCACGCACATACGTGAGTGGAGGACTTTCATATTATTACTAGTAAATTTGTTATTCCGGTACGATTGGAGACACGTCCTCGGAGAACACTCCACCTGGATTACGCGAGTGGAGGACTACACCCATAACCAGAATCTCTGGTATTTAGAGAGCATGACTTGAGTGTATAGATCTATACGGGGCTGACTACCCCACACCTGGCTGCTAGCTACAGCCGAACCGAAATGGTTCAAGGGTGACGAAAGTCATAAGTATGTGGACGACTTATTACCACATGTGGACTACTTATTGCCACAGGTTTCAGTCTATTGTATGGTTATGGAACTCACAATTAGGATAACAGAGATTTACTTACAGTAATAATGGATTACTTTATACATTGTTTACATCGTTTACATCTTTTACATCATTTACTTACTGTAACTAACATGCAGGAAGGTACGGGACCTTCCTGGGGAAAACATGGAATCTAATCACGATTACATCTTTTACATTTTTCACATTGTTTACATAAGATACATACATACAGGAAAGCATGGGGCTTTCCTGGGTAACACTTACATAACTAGAAAGAGTCACAGAATGGATAACATTACATCTTTTACAATTTGTAACATACAATAAGGAAAGTATGGGACTTTCCTGGTAATACATGATAAGTAAACAGAACAGTTTAACCAGTCAGATAACCAACTATACATTTTCACATGAGTAAACATGTTTTCAGTGTACAAACTTACTATACTTTACAATTGTGAAACAATAACCAACTTTTAAAAAAATACGGGATTTTCTTGGTGTACATAACATTTCAGAAACAGAAAGGAAACCGATACATTTCCGTAAAACAAAACTGCTTATGAACTCACCAGCTTTATGCTGATTTTCAAACCGCTTGTGTTCTCAGGTCAGCGTTAGAACAGGTACCCGAAGATCATTTTACATGAAGACGGTGTACATGAAGACCCGTTACATTTTGTCTATATATACTATGTATCACAACTGTACAAACCTTACTTTTGAAACAACTGTAAAACTATTATTATGTAATGTAATGCTTGTTTTACTTTACTTACTATGTACATTGGATTTGATACTCAACACGGTAGTCAACCCCGGAAATGTATTCCGCCTTCGGTTTTCGGGGTGTGACAGTCATACTCAAGAAATTGTATCAATCTCTTTCCTACCTACTTCGTGAGGAACCAGTCACCAGGTAAATTAGGTCAAAATTTTGTTGCTCAAAAGCATCTTGAAGCCAGATTGTCACATAATTAAATGAATTCTTTTTACATGGAATTATAGTTTGTGTTGAATATAAATAAAGTTTAGCTTTTTGCATACAGATGGGATGCAGGTCAAACAAGTGGAGGCTCAGGTACTTCTTTTTCCAATAATGTCATCACTAAACCAAGTATTGAGTGCTTCATGTTTATAAGTGCAACATTAATTTTGCTTTGAAAAGCCTTAGACTGACTTTGCTTTATATAAATAATGGAATTATAGTGTGATATTGTGCATCATTCCTCTGATTTTTGTTTATTCAACTACATTTATAAAGATCTGGTCATATTTTTTTTATGTTTTTTTTTTACTTTTCAGCTCTGGTGGAAGCCTGTCTGCATTAGTTCTTGTTGTTCTGTTTTTGGTTCAATAATTTGGAATTACAAGAGTGAGCTTTTACATAACAATTTGGTTCAATAATTTGGAAGCCTGTCTGCATTAACATCAATAAACTTGATTCCTAATAAAAATACGATACAATTCATGAGAAGTAAAATGGACCTTTTACAGTATGCAAATGAACCTTTTTTTTTTGTCTCTGTGAAGTTTATGTTTTATGATTGCATGCTTTTACAGTATGCAAATGAACCTTTTTCCTTATAAATTTCCCATTACAACAACATTCTTGAGGCCTGGGTAGACCCGTCTTTTGGCACAACATGAGAGAAGAACCTGTTATTTACATTAATGGAAAGCCCTTTCTAGTTCGTGAGGTTGAAAGACCCTACTAATAATCCTCTCTCATTTTTAATGTTTATTATTTAAATATACTCAAGTGTCAAGTGGTTTAATGTAGGGAATTTACTGTGAAAGAGTGGAGAGAATGGAAGCTCGACTGAAAGAAGATATTCTCAAAGAACCTGAACGTTATGGATGTAAGGTATCTACCTGATACCTTGCTGCAACCTTGTTGCCTAAGAACAGAAAACAAAACAGAGCAGGAAGAAAAAAAGGAAAAAAAACTACATGGCTGGCAACAGGTGATAACAGGGGAAGAAAAAGATGGGATTTTTTATTTTGCTTGGTGGAAAAGAAAACTTTTATTGCTGAAAAACTTCTTTCTAAATACCTATAACGTAGCATATTTATACTAAAAGAAAAACAGTTTGACTCATAGTCTAAAACCGGGAAACAAAAATAATAAAAGCATTTTCCTAAAATGCCCTTGTGGGCTTTTTCCTGAATTACGCCAACAATGGAGGTGATATTATGGCAATTCACGAACTACAATCATATTTTATTACAAAAACTTAATTAAATTGGAACTTTCCCAACATACCCCTGAGGCTATTTTTGTCCCCAATTCTCAGGGGACGGAATAATGATGGATGGTCAAGCTAAAATTTGGTTTTGAATTTAATTTGGTATAAAAATGACAGGTTTGATAATGGTAGATGGTCAAGATACAAGAACTTTTCAAGTCCATTTGGAATATTACACTACAGATAATATTCTCTCTTTATTTCAGAACTTCTTACTTCTTCGTCTTATTAACTTTTTCATTTTATAATATGTTTGGATGCTGCTACATTTTAATACTGTCTGGAGTATATTATATTTGTTATTTGTGATAATAGCAGCTGGTTTTGTTTGTGATGGGATTAGTGTAAATTTTTGTCTGGTTTGTTGTTTTCTAGATGATAGCTAGGTACCTAAAGCATTGTTTAAAGGTGGATCAGTAGTCTACATGTCATTGCATGTCATTGCATTCTCACTGTTACCTATCAAAGTACTGAGGTAAATATTATGATTTTTTATATTAATTTTCTTACTTTCTAAAATTATTAGTGTTTTTTTTTTCTAAGTTATGATTGAAAAACAGTGAACTAGGGTAAATTTTATGAATTATGATATTAGTTTCTGAAAATATATAATTAGGGCATCATTATGTCTTATTGCCCCGGGCAACATATTTCTTTGGAACGGCCCTGGGTCCTTGCATTGCAATTGCCTATTTATCGGTTCTAAAGGACTGTGAGATTCATTGCTTTCATGAAGGATTGGAAGTCAAACGACTTGGTGGTCTCCATGTCATTGGGACATCTTTGCATGAGTCCCGAAGAATTGATAATCAGGTAACTTTGCATCAGTATTGTGTTTTAAGGTTTTACATAAATTTAGCATATACTTTCAGACTCACTTTTTTAATTTATTTCTTGCTTTACAAAGCTTCGTGGCAGAGCAGGAAGGCAAGGAGATCCTGGATCAACACGCTTCATGGTCAGGTAAGTTCATTTCAATGATTTTTATAAAGTTTAAAGTCAATCCTTTCATCTGGACAAAATTCTTCATGTTAAATTACGTAATAGTCCTTGGAGTAGTTGACATGAACAATTTTTTTTTGTTAGAATGATTCCATATATATGTGCAAGCAAGCACATGCCTTGTGAAAAAGGGAAATCTATTCTAGTCATTCTCTTTAACAAGGCAACCTTAAAGTTGATTTTTTAAACCTGATGTTTAAAACTACATTGAGTGTGAGATAGAAGTTTATGCAGAGAAGGAAAAAGATAGAAGTTTTTGAGGATGTTGCTGATGAAAAAGATAGAGGTTCTTTAGGATGCTGCTAATGAAGTTTATGTAGAGAAGGAAAAAGATAGAAGTTTGTTGGCACATAGTAAGCTAGATAATTAATGCAATTGTATATAAATGAGTTCATTTTTTTATAACATTTACTCACTATTGGAATAATTATTTGTATTTGACATATTAGTGAAATGAATTATATTTGTTATTTATGGTATTTTATTTATTATTATGAGATTTATAATGTATTATTTAATATGAAAAATTAGTAAATCTACAAATAATATTTTTTTAAAACATTTAAAATTATGATACGCAAAAATGTGTGTCATCTTTATTTATGACATGGCCTTTCTTGACAGGGTCTTCCTTGATACGAATTGTGTGTCATAAACACGCGCGTCGTAAGGTTACGACACGTAAATGCATGTCGTCTTCCTTTATGACAGGGCCTTCCTTGATACGCATTGCGTCTCATAACCGCGCGTCGTAAATGTGCGTCATAAATGTGCATCGTAAATGCGCGTCGTCTATAGATGACACGCAAAAGCGCGTCATCTCTCTTTATGACAGGGCCTTCCTTGACACGCATTTGCGCGTCGTCTGAGCGTTTTACGACGCGCAATGAGCATCGTAAAAGGCCTTTTTTCTAGTAGTGAAAATTTGTTTTCAAAATAATAATCATCAGAGTATCCCTGTTTCCAATCATAAAACATAGCAACAAGAGGAGTGGTACGATCAGGCCTTTGCCTTCCCTCGATCACCCGAAGTACCTGAAACAACAAACTGAAATTGTAAGCCTGGAAACTTAGTGAGCTACCCTAAAATGCCAACACCATACCAATATAACCATAACATATAACAGTTACAGAACAACATGCATAATGAGCCTTCAGCCTGACCGGACTACCTCGCAGGGCTAACACGAAGGGTTTTGAGAATTCCAACACTCCTAAGCTGTACATGCAACCCTAAATACCTTGGATCTATGTTTTCTCTATTATACATGTAAATATCAATTTCCAAGGTATTGTTCCAGCTAGTATAATATGAAGTACATAAAATATAAATTTTAGTAGAATTGCATACCTCTTTATTGTAGCTTGATTCCATGGAGCTTAAGAGCCTAGTGCCTCAAATGTGACACCTCAAATGGTTCACACAACATCACCAACATCTTGGAATAACTTAAGAGAAGAAGGTTCTTATGCTCATATCGGCTAGCCCTCATGTGTACACACACTAGTGCCAATTTCTTGAGCCATGGGGCGTTATATATGTTTTTGCTATTAGGGTTACACTATGTAACTCATGTATTTCAATATTCTTCATACTCCATGGGTTAAAACATCCATGGAGTATCCATGGGTTGAGACCAACATGAAGAACTATAGACCATAAGCCCACATATATAAGAATGAATGATTTACACAATCAATCCCCATATATTTAATTAGTCTCATGTTGATCAAAAAGTTAATTCCAAATAATTCTTAATCAATACTAATTAAATAATATGATTTCATATTAATATATTAGAACATATAATACATTATCAAATCATTAATATCCTTTTCTCACAAAAACCTATCCAAATTGTTTCGACACCATGCAACCCTAATGGACCATGCCAAGTGAAGTCATATACATACCAATAATAATTTGGGCTTAGACATCTAATCTAATAGTCTCCCACTTGGATAATTCTAAAGTTATTATTGTGTATGCTTCCAAAACCTGTCTAGCAATCGTAGCTCTTAAAAGCTACTGTTAAACTCTGAACAAATCAATGACACGTCCATTCGATAAGGGATCATATATTCCTCTATTTTAGATATCATATGGAGTGAGACATGGATTATAATCATTCTCTCTATCCATTTGTTGTTTCCCGATTTCTGATTTATGATGACTGACTAATTGAACAAATCAAATCAGTCTAGGCTTGGCCAAGCACTTCGGGGTCTCATCACCAAATCATCAAGGGGCCGAAATATATCGCTTTTATCCCTTTAAGGGTAAAATGAATGGATAAACATTGACTCATATGCTGGTTATACTACTTGTTGAATCATACACAAAGGCACATTTTATAACATAGAGTTACCAATGTGTTTTCGTACAATCAATGTATAAGCAACTCACTCGTGATAAAATCCATGAAGTGATTCAAATGACCGTGGGTTGAATCTAATACTTATAACTTATGAACACTCATGAATGTTATAGCAACTCTTGCTATGTCCACTACCTTGGACATTTACAAACCAACTTCATGACAGTCTTGCCTTAATACCTTTTTGTAACGTGTTATCCACTGTGCATGGTTTGAACAAATTAGTCATTCGGTAAGACTAACCTAGTTATTTTGGAAGTCAAAACATGCAAAGTGAAACACAATAATAATCGAATCCAATATGGTCTCAGAACTTGTGAATATAAATAAAACATCTTTTATTTATCACCATATTGATTACCCATTATTCATTGTATAATGTTTCAAATTTATCAACCTTAATACTTGAATTAAAAACAATAGGTGTCCCATGCTCCAAGCATGTAAAGTATGTTTTTTTAGAAACACTAGTCATACCATACACGAAGCACGCACACTATATTTGTCTATGATCTTTACTTTGTGAAATATATCCATTGAACATAATTGAATTGATTCTCATTTCACAATCCCAAATCCTTACCTTAAATTTAAGAATTAAAAATTCCTACCATCAACCAAAATCTATTAGATTTTAAACTAATGTGCACTGATCCTTTTGTAATGATTATGCACAAAGTCACAAAGTGTTGTCAACAGTCATTACAGAGTATTCCAATGGTGATCAACTCTATGGAAACGAAGTCTCATATTCAAAGTACATTGCTTTGAACATCCTTCTTGCATTAAGTTTTCTAAACTTACACAGATTGAATAACTTCCACCTATGGGAATATTTCCATATTCCCATTTTCATTATCACTTTTGAATAAGAGTTGCTTCCTTTTAGAATATGTCAATGTGGTCCTTCCAAAATTAATACTATTCTTCCAACTATTCCCTCTTAATCCTCTAGGCAATTTGAAAAATTTAGAACAAATGAATAATATAGCTCATGCAATCGATCCTATATTCGATGCATATGGGACACGATTCATGATGTCTCAAATAAAGACATGATACTAGACCAGTCTTTTGCTAAAAACCATGTCGTAATCATAATCGTATTTTAGAACGCACATAATGTACCCATATATAGAATTTCCTTATGTTAAGTCATTCCAACATAAAATCCATATATATATTTTTGACTAAAGTTGATTAAAACCTCAATCTAAGCTTTTAGACTTGAAATGAAGTGTAATCTCCTCTCCTAAAAGAGCCTAACTTTCGTAAACTTTCGTATTTCACAATATTGTTTCTCCAAAAATGCTACATTCATATTTATAAAACGATAATTTACATTGACAATTTATTTACGTAGATTGGATACAAACTGACTATTAAGATTTTTTACAATGTTTTACACATAATACATACTTTCCTAGGAATACAATACAAAAGTTATAATACTATCTATTCTACATCTTCTACCAGTACAAAAGTATATTGTATGCTTACCACATGGAATAGTTTTAAACATTGAGAGGGATAAGTGGGTGGCGCTTAGTGAGTTCAATAACAATTATAATATAACATTATGCCATATACGAATGTGGGGCGTACGCTTCTACGCGGGGCGTACCTCCTCGGATAAGGCTTCAAATTTTCATTTACTTTTTTTTTAAACTTCGAAATTTCATATCTTTTGCATACGAGCTGTGTTTTTGACATTCTTTATATCCACACATAGGTGAGAATATAATATACAACTTTCGATTAAACTTCATCGGCTAATTTTAACTTTATTTTTATTATTATATTTTTAACAGGCTGGACAGGATAAGTCCGTTAAAAGTTCATAACTTCTTCATCCAGCGTCCATTTTTGTCTGTCTTTTTACCGTTGTACTAATATTGATGAGACCTTTGATTATCATTTAGGTCGTGTCACCTAAATATCGCTCGATCTTTATTTCAAGTTTTTAAATATCTACTACTATATCAAAACTTATAAAAATCAAAACTTTCTCATATGAAGTCAGATTTTGATGTTCTTTTTATGGAAATTCTCGATTTAACTAATACTAATTTTCATTTAGACCATATAGGCTAACAAGTAGTTCATCAAAAACTCACTTTTTACGTCATTCGGCGTCGTGTCGGTTCTGTTGCGAAACTTCAAATAGTCATAAATTATGCGTTATAACTCGGATTTCGATGAGGATTTCGCCTAACTGATTCTAACGAGATTCTCTACAACTTTTAGTAATAAAATTTTACTTATTTCAAATTTTATATTTTTGTTAAATTTCAATATTTTACATTAGATTGGAATCTCATAAGACTTCCAATATTTTCTGAGTAATTTTAAGCATAGTTTTACTTTATTTCTAGTTAAACTATCTGTTAGAACTCAATACATAATATCACATAATATTTCATAATATTATTTATAAAAAAAAACATGATTTCAAAACATGTATGTTATAAAACTATAATGGATGCTTCTTACATGCAATAGTTTTAAACATTGACAAGGATAAGCGGGTGACGCATAGTGAGTTCACTAACAGTTACAATATAACATTATGCCATATACATATCAA